CTTTATAAAACTGATGCATAATCAACTGATATGTTTAAATACAAAATATGTGTCTATGGAAAAATACCCCAAAATTTTGATAACCAAAAGAATACTTCTTTGCTCTTTTAAAGCCACATAAACTCACAAAATAAAATTGAGGGATACCATATACATAATAAATATGTATTACATTTTATTGCACAAATATATTGATGTTTTATAACATGTCTTTTTGAATTTATATGTGATTTTGTGAAAAAATAATCTTGATAAAAGCTAAATATTACTAGTTATTAATTGCAAAAATCATGACGTTCAAAATATACACATACATATATAGGGTTGGATTTACATGAGACCCATTAAACTATAAAAAATCATTTGAAACTTTACAGTAAAATATTGTGAAGGTAAAAAAAAAAAAAACTCTGAACCTTCATAGTGTTTTGTTATGAAGGTTTAATGTTATTTAAGTGGTCTCGTGGGTTTTATGAAAACAATCTAATCTCACATGATTCCTATAGGGTCAGGTTATAAGAAAAATGTTAAATAAATGAAAAATATGAAAATCACCAGAAAAAAAAAAAAAAAACCACAAGGGTTTTCTTTATTTAGAGGTTGTGGAATAGTTGTTGAGCTTTTGAAGGATATGATGTAATATCTCATCTGTCTAGGGTTTGATTCCGGTCATATATAACAATTGTGGTCAGTGAATTTATCGAGACTAATTTCTTACAGTCAAAATTTATCGAGATTAATTCAGACATAGCCTGGAACATCTTCCAAATAAAAAGTCTTGCAAAAACCTGTACTATGATCACAAGTTGTTATATAGTCACAACTCTTTAACAAGAACCCACTTCTTATGTGGTTTCTTGTTCCATTGTTGTTGTTTTTAATATAGTTTAGATTTTGCTTTAATAAATTTATAAAACATAATTTTATAATATATAAATTAATATTAATATTATATTTGTAGATTAATAATTTCAAATATATATTTATAAATTTTTGAAGCATTCATTTTCTTGGATAGTTTTTTGTAAAATATTTATTTATTTTATTTTAACGAATTTAATTTATAAATAAGCAAATAAATTTATATAATTATTCATGAATATATAAAACATATATAGTTACCTCGTTTTATCTGTGATGCAATATTTTAATGGCCGGTGTAAATTTATATTTTGATTACTTTATATACATATACATATATATATATATATATAGAGAGAGAGAGAGAGAGACTTGGGATTATGTGAGACAAAGCTGTTTTGGTGAGACACGTGAGACCGAATTTTTACACTTGAAACTTTACAACAAAATGCTGTGAAGATAGGAAAAAAACCAAATATTTGTAGCAAAAAAACTGTGAAGGTTGCCTTCATAGTGTTTTGCTGTGAAATTTCAAGTGTAAAAATCGTGTCTCACGAAAACAGTTTTGTCTCACATGATCCCAAGTATATATATATATATATATGTGTGTGTGTGTGTGTGTGTGTGTGTGAGTTATTATGCAACCTTTTACATTTGTACAACCAATACAACTCAATCTCAACTGTCCATTTAGTTTGATGAATATGTTATTTTATAAAAGTTTTGATTGTTTCTAATATAAAGTACTAATTATAATTAATAAACCATAACCATATTTCATAAATATTCAAATCATAATATATGAACTCTCGTCATTTCCATAAATATCTCAGTTGATTGGGTTGCATTGGTTGTACAAATGTGACGGGCTGCATTTGAACCCATGTGATTTGCGAAATCGCAAGAACAACCTATTAACCTCATATTGTGATAACAATAAAAATTAAAGATTTTTTTAAATTAAAAATGAAATTAAAACAATTCAAAAAAAATTGAGAGACAAAAGGGTAATATTGGAATTGAAAGTGATAAAAATGTTAAAACACGATCACATTAAACTCAATAATTTGGATAACATAATTGGCTATTATGGTTATCGCTTATTTCAACACGATTTGGTGTGATAATCATGTGATTATCACACAATTATCACAAGGATTCCACTCGGTCAGGGTTAACTTAGAAAACAGACTACCGAATTGGTATGATATGGGTGTGCTAATCATGTGATATCTCTATCATAACAGTGCACACGATTTGATCATGGTTTCGATCGGTTAGGGTTAGACAATCACACATTTATCACAACGATTACTCATAGTTTCGATAGGTTAGGATTAGACAATCACACATTTATCACAACGATTACAGGCGAAATCCAGTAAACGATTTGGTGTGATATGAGTGTGATAATCATGTGATATCACTATTATAACAATACTTGCGCACTCAATTTGATCATGGTTTTGATTGGTTAGGGTTAGACAATCACATATTTATCACAACGATTACTCATAGTTTCGATAGATTATGGTTACACTCGAGTGATCATAGTTTCGATAGGTTATGGTTACATAATCACATAATTATCACAAGGGAAGAAAAGAGAGTGGAAACGAACGTGCAGAAAAAAAAGAGATAATTATAATTAATTAAAATAAAATAAAAATTATAAAAATTACTTAATTACATTACTGCCCTTATTTATTTATTTATATTTAATTTAAGTTAATTTATTAATTAAAAAAGTTTGAGGTTATTAGGTTGTTCTCACGTTCTCGTAAATCACAAGGGTTCTCGTTTAAACCTCCACTATATGAATATATTAACTAAAAATTAAAATTAACATAAAAAAAGTGTAATTAATATTTATATATTGAATTGGATATAATGATTTTAATTACAATATAATAACCAAATTGAAATATTATTAATATTATAATTGATTAATTTTGTAACATATATTTTTTAATAATTTTAAATTTAATAAATAACTTATCAATTAGTTTTTATCAAATATAATTAGTTCATCAGTTAGTTTTTCAACTATTAATTACTTATTCTCAAATTAACAACTAATTTTTCAGTCAACAATTATAAACAGACAATCAGTTTTATAAATAACAACAACGAAGAACAATTTGGTAAATAAATTATGAATATCTTATTTGTTATTAGTAATTAATATTATATAATTTCATTAAAATTACATAAATATTATTATAAAATATAATTATATGATTGTTTGCTAGTGTGCTAACGGTATTGAAGGTGGCTTATTCAATAAGTTCATAGGGACAAGTTTTATACAGAAATTCAAATTTTTTCCGAACCTGCTCATCATAATTAAAAAATTATGTTCATTTTATATATGAAAAAACTTTCAAACAAAAACTCTCTCACCCCTATATAGACAAATTAATCCATATAGACACTTTTATTTATACATGACTTAATGGAAACCAAACAAACATCAACTTAAATTACTATACAAACTCTTCCCGATAAGAAACTAGTACGATACACGACAAAAACTAAGAAAAATCATATATAATTATCTTTATATAACAATAGATGACTCGATAATCAATAATAATCGAGTTTTTCTATATAAAAACCTCTGATATCATAAAAACTGATTTCTCGTCTTGTTATAATTTAAAAAATAAACTATAAGTTTGGTCCTTGTGCTTTACAAAAAATTATAAACAAGTAAATAACGTAGCTAAAATTTAATAAGTACATAAATGGTCACTATAGTTTACGTTTTACTGTAAAGATGGTCCCTTACTCTAACACCGTCAGTCAAAGTGTCGTTAAGTAAGGGGCATATCAATCTTTTAAATTATTTACTTAATTTTTCTTTAAAAATTAAATATTATCAAGTTAATTTTTTTTATTCAGATAAGAAAAATTGATGTTTTCATTGATATTTAATCTAATTGAATATTATAAAAATATTTAGAACATTTTTTAATATCAAAAATATTTAATCTAATTAAATATCATAAGAAATAATAATCAAATTTTTTAATAATATAATTTAGAAGTTCGTAAATATTTAATTATATTTTGAACATTTTTACCTAATAGATTGATCAAAGAAACTAAGGGATCGTTTACTCAAACACTTATCTTATAAGCATTTATCGTTAAGATTCAACACTATCATTTATCTTATCAGTAAGATTTTAGTCTATCAAAACAACATCATATGCAACAATTACCCGACAAGTGTTAACTGAGTAAGAGTCGTCATTTTTACTTACTGGTAAGACTCTCGATCCTTGAGCTCGCTCTTACCGATAAGAATCTCAGTCCTTGCTATATTAATCTAATATGACTTTTTAAACACTCACTCGATAAACATTTAGTTGCTAGGTTTTATTTTGTTAAGTGGGATTTGCCCAAACGTTTGCATAACATGTAAGACCCACCCAAAACAATGTCTAATAAGTTTTTTGGATTAAATGTAAGAAATAATAACACATTTTTATAATAAAAAAAATTATAATATTGTACTTTTTTTTATAACAGTATACTTTCAAATTATTGTTTTTGTTAGAGAGCATTGTACTTTGAAAATTTTACTCATTATAGCAATAGATAATCTTTTAATTTGAATAAAAATGACATGACACAAGTTATCCAACTTCTATGCAATGTCATTGTCTACATGAGATGTCCACATGTAAGATATTACATACATGTTATTTTTTATTACAACATTGTAATTTCAAAATTATCATATTAATACATCAATTCTTATTATAAAATCGTATTTTTATTTTTTTTTATTATTAAAACATGATACGTTGAGTAAAAGAAGTTAAAAAAAATCAGCATTTCATAAAAAGTGAAGTATGATTTTCGTCCCCATGATTTATAAAAAATTCATGTTCTCGTCTTAATAAAAAAAGTTAGAAAATATAATTTAATAATAAAAAAATTATGAAAATAAGTTGTTATTTCGTAAATTTAATCCAAAATAATTATTTAGCTAGCGGTGCCGGTGAGCACTTAAGTTTTTGGGTTGGGCCGGACATGTTACAAAACTTTTGGGCCAAGCCCAATAACAAACAGAAAGCCGAGAGTAGTGTCTTTACTATATAAACCCTCTACCGGTCGTAAACCCTAGCTTTCATCATCTTCATCGGTACCGCCACAATTTTCATCGGCGATCTGCAACCAGGATCTCGGAAATGGTAAAATTCAACCCCAATTAGCTACATATTTACGTATATTTGTAAGTTTGTGTTTATGCGTGCTCTTAAAACATCCGTATGGTTTGATTTTTGTAGCCGTTCAAGAGGTACGTTGAGATCGGGAGAATCGCCCTCGTTAACTACGGAAAAGATTATGGAAAGCTTGTAGTCATTGTCGATGTTATTGATCAGAACAGAGTATGTTTATTTTGCTTCAGATATTTTATTATAAGCTCAATTTATTTGCTCGTTTCGTTATTGGACAATATCCTATGTTTATGTTAGTGCTTGTCAGGGATTTTGATTTGTTGTTTATCTCTGTTTAGCTGCTTATGCATTTGATGATCAACAGAAGGTTTATTGAATACTAAATTGATTGTAATGGTAGCATTTCATTTGGAAAACACGGGATACAATTAGTTTTTGAACTTGAATTAGCAAAAGTGCATGTAACATATGATTCAATGATATTTCCGTATCTATTTGGGCTGTTGTGTGTTTTGCACACAATTTTTGCAAGTTGTGAGTGTATGAAGGAAATGGCCACTCATACTTTCTTAATACATGTTTGCTTACACTACATTCCAGATCCCAAAGCCGGGTTGGATATTCTGCTCTCGTTTGCTTTGGTTATTCCAATTCACTGACCAATCAAGCATTATCATCACAGTGAAATGTATGTGGTTCTATAGGATTTTTTGTGAGACAGCAGAGAAAATACACCCAGTTAGCGTCTTCAACCCATAACCATTAGGTTCATTGCCGCACTTAGATATCAATTCGGCCACAAGCCATTGTTATGATGTTTTGCATTTTACTTCCATAGGAATCTATCTTTTGAACTCTTCCTTTTTTCCTCCTCTATATTCGAACTTAGTGACAATAATTTGTAAGCCCTAAGTGTCTCTTTACTAAACAAATGCTCTACTCTTTGAAGTAGAGGTAGGTCTGTGTACATCCTATCCCCACCTCCGGTATAAATAATTTAGCACTTGGCTTTTTTTCATAGAAATAATTTAGCACTTGGCTTTTTTTCATAGAAATGATTTAGCACTTGACTTTTTCTAAAAAAGTAAATAAAATCTTCTATACCAACAGCACTCTTATAAATTACTCTGTTTTGATTGTTAGGCGCTTGTCGATTCCCCTGACATGGTAAGGAGTCAAATCAACTTCAAGAGACTGACACTCACCGACATCAAGATTGACATCAATAGAGTTCCAAAGAAGAAAACCCTTGTTGCTGCTTTGGAGGCTGCTGGTATGTATCAAGTTATTAGTGGCCCTTATGAAATTGTGATTCGTTTGTGGGTGCCTGAATCGCCAACAAAATTCATATGCAGATGTTAAGAACAAGTGGGAGAGCAGTTCATGGGGAAGAAAGCTTATCGTTCAGAAGAAGAGGGCCTCACTTAATGATTTCGACAGGTTTAAGGTTATGTTGGCAAAGATAAAGGTCAGTCCCACTTCACACTTCTTTTTGTATTTTCCCGAAGTAGGACATATCTTGATTGCTGGACAAGCTTAATCTCATTATCTTTTAGAACAGTGTTTCCTCAATTGTCTTTTTCCAAATATGTGTCTTCTTTCAGTAGGGTTGTAAAATGAAGAATCAAAATTCAAGATCTCCAAAAAAGAAATTGCATTCCACTCCAATAAAGTCTGAATTTTGGAGATTACAACATTAAATTTCAAGTCTTTTTTTTGGTGGGAATATAATAATTATTTTCATGGTAATCAGTTTTATTTTTTTTTATTTTGGAGAAAAGTTCCGTAGAATCTGTTGGTGCAAAAAATCTGCCTTAAATCCCCATTTTTCCACTTGGAGATGCTCTTAATTGACCTTAAACTAGTATTTTATCAGAAAATGCTCAATCTAAGCTAAATGTTAAGTTTATATTAAATAAGTGTACTGTAATCAACCTATGCCAAATGTTTGTAATACATTAAATAAACTCCCACTTTTCAATTCTACCCTTAATATATGGCTTTATTTATCATCCAAGGGTAAAATTGTCATTTAGTCGGTTTAAAAGCATAAGGATTACACATTTAATTGTGGTATTTATTTTGGGAAATATTACGTTCTGATTGGGTGAATGGTAATTGGTGGTTTTGCAGAAAGCTGGAGTTATAAGGCAAGAACTAGCCAACCTTAAGAAACAGACCACAGCTTGATATAATTTTCTTCTGAAAATCAAGATTTTGGTGTAGCTTTTTTTTAATATTTGATGAATTACTTGTTGCTTATGATATTGTATTTTTTTGGGATTAAATCAGATTTTTGCCATTTTCATTTTTCTTTGTGTTTTAAGTGGCAAATGCATTGGATTCAAACAAGCTCAGGCGTTTCTCTGTCATTAGGATTGCATTTTCTGAAGGCGTTGCTTTGTGTTATTTTGTGTGTTTGACACTTCCTTCCTAGAAAGAAAAGAAGTAGGGGGAAATTTATGTATTACCGCGACTGCTAGCACAAAGTTAGCAGCATCTTAGGGACAGAATCCATAAAAATGATTCAACAGGCTCTAGAAGGAATTTCGAGAGGGCCGTTTTACATTTCGTGACTTTTTTTGAAAGAACATTTTTCTTAGTATTTTGTTTATTTTTGTAACATTTGTGTATTTACATTTAAGTTTTAGATTTTATACTTTTATAGATTTATTTAATTACGTCTGGTGTAGTTTCACTACCAACTTATATATGTAATAGACTTGCAATTAAAACAAACTTGTCAAACTACCTTCTATTTTAAATATTTAATTAATAATAAATTATATTATAATAATTTCTAATATGAATATAATTTTTTTAATATTATAATCTGATTTTATAATATATAGAAAACATATTTATAATTTTATATGACATATAAATTTACAGTCTTGAAAAATGTCACGTCTACCACCATAGCGTGTAAGTGTTACATTGTGTTCTCAAGTTTCTTTTACAGAGAATTCAGGGCAAAATGAAGGAAAGCAGAGAGGGAAGAAAAATATGTGTTCTCGAATTTTTTTTAGGGAAACAGAACGAAGTTATTTTATTTTTCCTTTCTTAGGAGGAAAGGAAAAATAAACATTTATAAAAATCAAAATTATTTAAAAAAGATCATACATCTATCCATCACTTACATTCTACTACAAAAAAAAAAACAAAGAATATACTTGTAAAAATGATATATTTTCTTTCTCTCCCGTTTAAAAACATGGAAATTTATTATCTTTTCTTCCCTTTTCTTCCACTCTTAATAACACACACACACACAAAAAAGTCTTTATTTTATTTTATTTTATTTTCCTTCTGAAATCGAGAACAAAGCAGTAAGGTTTGACCTCGCTGCCTTGTCATACCTCACGTCATTTTTATTAAAATAAGCCGATCTTTATGCTCACCTCACAACCCATCAATGAATAAGCCATCTCAACCTAGTTTTTCCCTAATTTTTTAGTTTTTGTACTAAATTTTATAACCATAGTTAAACTTTATACCATTTTACAATACACAATTATATTTTATGCATTCAATTTTATTTCTGATAATAAAATAATATATTGAAGATATTTTGGTGCATATTGAGGGCGCTTTTTTACATTTCGTCCACGACCTATAAAATGTCAGGAATATGTCTGTCAGGTTTCACGCCCCCAATTTCAACACCATTTACCTCACATCAGAGGGAGACTTAGAAATTATTTCAAGCGGTGACACCATTTGACTATAAGAAACTAATATATGAATATTTTTTCTACAAAATCATCATTGGCTTGTTGGTTCATTCCTTGTTTTGCATATGTAAGGTCCTGTCTTCGAATTTTTTTAAATCAAATTATTTGAGAGACGTAATAAATTAAAAACCAAAAACTAAGAAAAAAAAATGATTCAAACAGGATTCAAACTCATGTCCGAGGTGGGAAAATCCCATACAAATCAACTCCACCAAGGGAAATTTATGTCATTATTATAGTTTCAAAATATACATGGTTCCACACAACAAATAATACGTTGACACCTTCCATGATCCACTAATTTTTTACACTGCGACAAAGAATGAAGTTGTAGTCAGTACCACCATATTCTGTAGAGTGGGTCCTACTACATCAACACAATAAATATACATTATATATTTCCAAGGGACTCTCGAGAAAGAGAAAGGATCAAGCTCAAAAATTTATGCATCCTTCTTCTCGTATGCAATTTTCTATTCTTTCTTTGAACCAAAAGAGAACCATGCGTACTACTAAACCTTGATTCTCTCTCTTGAACTATAAATCGTTTAGAATGCTACGTATCGCCCGATTCATTCTCTAGATCTCCCCACGAATCCTCGTAGACCCCTATGCTTAGTCATATTCCCCCCCCCCCCCCACGAGAGTCCAGGTCGTGTCTCAGTCCCAATGTGGCGGATCATCCGAAAAGAACAGCTAAGCAGTCCAGACAATCATCTGACTCCCTGGAGATGCCAATTAGAGTAGAGCCAAAGGCAGCACCCTTTGAATCTTCAGTAGGGGCTTTTAGTCTTAGGCAAAAAAAAAGCAATATAAATGATTGAAATGTCTAATACCGTATTAAACTCTCAATCTCCATTTTTCAAACAAAAAAAAATTGTACAAATTAACCTCAACACAACCTCTCCTTTTATCTCTAAATTTAGTCCAGTAATTTGAATGGGCAAAAATAAAAAGCAAAGTTAAGGTTGAGGTTTAATGCATACACACTCTAAACTCCTAATCTTTCTCCCCCATTTCAAACCTTTTTCTTGGGGTCACATTGACCCCATTAAAATCCTTTTAAGATATGACTACAAAGGTGAAAGGCCTCATCAAAGGCATCAAAAAGAACATTTCTGCACGTTTTGGTTAGATTTCTCCCATTAAATATCGATACTATTCATTATGAATTCACATGTGAATAGAGGTTTTTCTGGGTTGCAGAGGACGAAAAAGAAGAAGAAATACAGATCGGTGAGCCGACCGATGTGAAACATGTCTCGCATATTGGCTGTGAAACGGCTGTTGAATCTCCGAGCTGGGTATTGTATTTCGTTTCATTGTGATCAAAATCGTTGGTTTTTTTTGGTTGAATGATTTTATGATTTTTTTTTATTGTGGGATCGATCTGATGCAGATGAAAGGGTTTGATGCATCATCAGATACTCAATCAATAGGTAATTCATCTTCTTTATGTTTTAACGTAATTCGATCATTGAATTGAATGTTGATTTTGATTCATGAATATGATGAGTCCCAAATTCTATGTCATCGTTGAATTGGTGAATCCAATTTGATCCTATAGACGTCTTGTTTTTCTGATATGAAGAAAATTCTTTCTTTCATATTTTCTCCATTTTAATAACGTTTTGGAGAATCTGTTAATTGAGACAAACATCAAAATCTCACTTTCGATATTATGTTTGAGATGCTTTCAGAAAATAGCATCTCAAACCAAAAAGAGACGAATGATCGTATGAGAAATAAGAATTTTGGTTAGAAGCATAAGAAAGGATCTGGATCCTTAATCACTTTTAATCTCACCTCCACCCAATGAATAAAGCTGGATACAAGAATTGATTTGGTGCATCTCATTATTGTTGATCTTCAATTATGATTGATCTAAGGTAGATGTTTCTTCTTACCCTTCTCACTGTAATTTCCATTCTCACCTCCACTCCATTTTGGAGTATTAGAAGAAACAGTTGAGAATGCTCTTAGTTGTGACATGAATAAAAAGGAACATTTTCTTGAGGCAGAGAAAACCATTACACAAATGTATTTGCTTGTTTATCATCTTCTGCAGATTCAAGCCACAGGAGTACTCGAAGTGTGGAATCTTCTCGAGACCTCCCATCGGTTCCACGAGCAGCTAGAAACCGCCACCGTTCAATGGACAACACTCTGGATTCTTCTGACTCGTCACTTAAAGCTAGGCGTACAAGAAGAAATCGATCGTCCGAAGCTAGAAGGCGTACCGAAGGGGAGGATTCAAATGCAGACGTCCCAAAGAAGTCTTCACGACGTAGGAAACCAAAGGACGAATCTGCAACAAGATCATCGTCCAATCTTACAGACGATTCCGATCATGGATCAGACGTATAACGATGAAAGTAGAACCACAAGTTTTGTAACACGAGGCAAAAGGGGCGAAAACGACCCCCAAAGTTTGGGTTTTTGCTTTGTTTTTGTTTAGCTAGTCCCATTGGTTGTATGATTACCCATAGAAACAACCATGGGTGTTTTGGTTGCAAGAATACATTTTCTTGCCCTCTCTCTTTTAACTCCTTGGATATAAGAATGCGTTTGATACACTGAACAAGACGAGATATGAAAATACAAAAAAACTGTTTTTCCACGTCTGACACAAATATTATACTGGGATAAAACAAAACATTAAAATAGGTGTAACAAAAATCAGGAAGATCCCTCTCTCCACTAATTTACCTAAATTGCAAGATAGATCAAAAAGTAGTGTGATGAATAATGTTACACCTAATTTAATGTAACATTATTTAGTGTGACTTTATTAATTACATTAAATTTGGTTCAACATTTAATGTGCTCAATAGAATGATTTTATGCAAAATTTGGTGTGTTAGTGTAAAATATAAATGAACACATTAAAGTGGTTTTAAGATGCGTACCTATAAGTTTGGGGCCCAATAAGCTTACCTCAAATATATCTATCCATCAATTAAATACAATTATCTATTTATTTGGATAAAAAGTTGATTATCGTTGATTTCAATCAATTACATACCAAACCCAGGGGCATTTTTTTGGCTCACTCAAAGGTTGAGGCTAGCAGGGGGAGGCAGTGGCGGATCCAAGATTTTTGTTCAGTGGGGTCACCTTTAAGGTAGACTAAAGACCCACAAAATCATTCGATGTGTTTTTAACCTAATTATAATGTTTTCGAGTGAATTATAAAGTTTTTTTGATTGATTTCGAGGGATTTTTTTTTTGTCGATTTCGAATAACTTTTTTGGTTTTTTTGATTGCCTTCAATAGATTTTTTCGGTTAGAGTAACGATTTCGATTGGGGTTGGGGGTTCATGGAAAAATGTAATGGGGGAAGTGAAAGGTAAATAATGTAAAATCTAAATTTTAACCTATGATTTTTTTTTTGTGTTTTTGACTGAGGTCTCTTCCCCTCTTTTTTGCCATTGCATCCGCCCCGGGGGGAGGGGATGGAATCGAGATCAGGACGTGTTTTGTATTTGTGCAAAATCTTTTCACCTTTTTGACAACTGAACTACACATAAGATGCAGAACAATCCATTTATTAAGGAGATTGAGGGGGTGTTTGGTATTGCTTATAAAAGCTGTTTTTTAATTTATTTTAGTCTGACACCGGTGATAAGCTGTTTTTTGATGTTTGGATAAGAAAAAAAACTGTTTATACCAGTGCCAAACCGGTAATAAGCTGTTTTTGATAAGTTAATCATTCATGACTTATAAAAAACCTTTATTACCAGTTTACAATTTTAACTCTGCTTTATTTAACTCCGATTTGATATCACATAAATTAATAAGCATTTTTACAAAAAAACATAAATTGTTTTAAATAAGCAATCTCAAACACCCCCTCAATAAAAATACCATCATCTAACCACTTCACCTCAATTTCATCAATGATTGCAATCAAAGAGGAGGATATGGACTTCACAAATGAAATAATCATATGGGTTTCAGAATCTCTCTTGCTATTTCACAAGTCATTTCATATACAAGGTGTACACTTTGTGAGATTGTAATTACATTTTTGCCCTTCAAGATTGGCAAAAACTACATAATGACAACCAAAAGAAAGACTGTTACTAGATAAGGAATTTGACGACTAACAGAAATGGAACTACTAGTAACATGGAGAAGGGTAAATCTGGAATTTGCAACCCTATTATTGCATACCTTCAACTCATCCAAACTTCCATGAACTTTGGAAAATGACTTAATTGCCCCTACATCCACACACAATTCAGGGTTCCCTTCTACCCTTAGCTTCCTTCCAACCCTTGAAACAAAATTAGCAGAAAATGGAAGTCTCCCACTCAAATTGTTGTTCTTCAAATTCAATTCATTCACCATTGCCAACCTTTCAAGCTCCAAAGGTACCCCACCACTTAGGTGGTTGTCATCAAGACCCAAATATGTTAAGTTTCCCAAAAATACCCCTATTGAAGATGGAATATTACCAAACAGCCCTACCCCTGAAAACCCAATTCCATTTATACCCCTCATGTTTTCCCAAATGTCAGGAATCACCCCTCCTAATTCATTCCCACTCAAATACAACCCCTTCAATTTACTCATCTCCGATAAGAAAATGGGTATCCCGGAGTTCGTAAATCGGTTATAACTCAAATCCAAAAGCTCCAAACACTTTAGATCCTTCATGCTCGCAGGAAATTCGCCGGAAAAAAGATTCAAACTCAAATCGAGTTTTATAAGGTTCTGCAGCTCTCCGATGGATGCCGGAAGTTTGCCGTCAAACCCATTTTGGCTGAGATCAAGAATCTTTAGATTCTTGAGATTTGACACGTTTTCCGGTACGATTCCGGTGAATCTATTCCGTGAAAGTGTAGCTTCTTCAAGATTCAATAACCCACCAAACCCATCTGGGATTTCGCCGGAGACATTAGTTCCGGTGATAACCAACCTCTTCAAGCTCGTCATGTTACTAATGGATTCAGTCAAAGATCCGAAAAGACTCGGGTTTTCTATGAAAACAAGTTCTTCAAGAGAAGATCCGAGAGTTGAGAAGGTCTGTAAAGAAACGGGTCGGGTTGTGAAACAGTTGTAGAAGAAGAGCTTTCGAAGGTAAGGAAAGGAAGAGAACATAAACGGGTCGTGAATCGTGGAGTTCGGGTTACAAGGCGGGTTTGGGTTGTGGTCAGAAACGTACCCGAAACTAAGTTCGAGGATGTTTACAGCTCCGTCGTCGGTGGCGGTTGGGACGGTGGTGTAGCCGCAAACGACGCCGTGTGGAGCGGAGGAGCAGAGGTCGTCAGGGAAGAGAGAGCGCCATGGGATGTCGGAGTTGAGCGATTCAAGGACTCGGTAGACCGATTCTTGCTCCAGCGAGTTGAGAACAGGTTGTGAGTTGGCGATGGCGATTCCAGTAGTTATGAGCAAAGAGATGAAGAAAGCGAGGGAATATGATGAAGAACAGGAAATCTCCATTGAAGAATGCAAAGGACAGAAATGGGATTTCTGGGAATATGGAATTATATGCATTTAGTGTCTCATATATATATATATATATATATATATATATGTATGTATATAGAGAGAAATAGAGATGAAACTGTACAACTTATTGGACTAATAAGATTCATTCTGAAATAGACGTTATTTCAAATGTTTGAATTAATGATGAAGGACAAACATGTAACTTTTATGTGTATGTTAATTGTATGGTATTTAATGAAAATTTATAATTTTTTATGTGTAAGTTCTTTTTATGGTATTTAATTATGTGTATAGTTGTTCATAACAATTAGTTGATAACCATAAGGTATACATAATAATATGCTCATATGTGTTTATTATCATAAGATGTTCATAAAATTGTGTTCAAACCCGTATGGTGTTCATAGGTGTTTAATAAGATTTTTTATAAATGTTCATATGTCATATTATCTGTTTACAAATACTCATTTTTTAGAATGTTTATTTTTATTCAAAATTTTCGTTTATTACAAATATGTCATAATTTAATTCATAAATTTCAATTATTAAGGACTAATGTTGGTTCACATAATTAATAATAATTATTTGATTTAAAAAATGAAACAACATATACACACACCCACATATTTCATATATATATATATATATATATATATATAGAAAGAGAAACTTGAGATTATGTGAAACAAAGTTGTTTTTATGAAACATGTGAGACATCTTGTTATTTAAAACTTCACAGCAAAAACACTGTAAAAATAAAGATAACATTTACAATGTTTTTGTTATAAATGTTCGAGTTTTTTACCTTCACAGTAAAAAAATTGATGTCCCCCTTTCAAATAAAGAATTGAGGGTATATTTGTCTTTTTCTAAAATAAAGAAAAGAAGATCATAGTACGAATGTGGTAGCAGAGATCTTCTCGCTGCAGGACTGCAGGTTAACAATTGAAATCTTTATGAAATGACCAGAATACCCCTGTGATCCTAGCTAGCATCCTCTCCTATAGTCCTATTTATTCCCGCCGCAACGGCCAACGGCTTTTAAAATACAGACTGTAATTTACAGTTTAGTCCCCTTTACTTTGATTATTTTCATATTAGTCTCTTTTTTCAATTTATAATTATTAATTTTATAAAAACCTTTCTGTACATTTGATATATTGGACATGATAGTTAAGAACAAAAATTCATTGTTCTATGTTTAATAGAAATTTTATGAAGAACAAAGATGAATAAAGTGGAATAGACGTGTTCCATCTCTACCCCATGAAATAAGGTGGAACAAACATATATTTTATCAATATAAATATCAAAATAAAAAAAATAGTATAGAAAAGATACAAAACAAAAGTTGGAAACTATGTAAACTTTTTACTTTGATTTCAGATTAATATTCTTCACGAAACTGTGTAAATTACATAACTGATCAAAATATATAAACAACTTATTAGAGGTAAATTAATCATTTTATTTGTTATGTCATATTCAGTTTTTTTTTACTGAACACTGAACAGTTGTTATGTCCAACTTTGTCATATTCTATGCGAATACCAAACGCACCCTAAATACCAAAACGATAAAATTAAATTAATAAAGAAAAGAACATGTAGGGTTTGGAACCTTTTGAAGTGGTGTTATATCCAGAATGTAATATACTAGATTAGAAGGGTAAAATTGAAGAAAATGGAAAAGTAAAGGGGGGTAAAATGAAAAAAGAAAAGGGCGGCATAGGGGGAGACAACAAGACACGAAAGCAAAAAATAAGAGTTCCAACAGAGACCCGCCGGCGCCGCCGACCTGTCGCGTTCCGCAAATAAAACACCTACGAACCACACGAAAACGACGCTTCAATAATTAAGGTTATGTAATTCAGTCTTCATTGTCCACAATTTCACATTTTTACCATTAAATTAATAAAATTCAAAACAAATTAAATATTTTTGTTATTATACAATAAATTATGATGGATTACATAGTTATTTGGTAGTTGTTGAATGATTTAATAAAAAATAAGAAAAAATTTAAAAAAACTCAATGGACTTTAGTGTTTGGAATGATTAAGTCCTTGGATAATATTTTGGAACAAATAAGTCCTTGAACATTGCAAAACATGTTAAATAACTCCTTAGACAATTTAAAACATGTTAAATAACTCATTGGACAATTTTTTGGAACAAATAAGTCATTGGACAATCTAAAACATGTTAAATAACTTCTTGGATTTTTCTAAAACATGTTAAATAACTTCTTGGATTTTTCTAAAACATGTTGAATACATTCTTATAGCTTGTACAACTAGTTAATATGGTAAAATAGTGAAAAAAGTCCAAAAAAAAACTCAATAAACATTTATATTTTAAACGATTAAGTCCATAAACATTTTTTGAACAAAAAATGATTTAAATCTATAAAATTAAACAAATATAACAAAAAAATACTTACATTTACAAAAAAATAATTACATTTAAAAAAAATTGATAAAATTTATTTTAATTAAAATTA